CCCACACACACACAAAACAATCTCCCAGCAGCCACAGGGTCATCCCAGGTACTAGCACCCCTTGGCCAGATGCTCAACACAGCCCACCAAACTCAGTGCACAGGGCCTCACCCACAACAGAGGAACTATTTCCTTCCACCCCTTTATTAGGAAATCCTTCTGTTTTCTCTATACATGCCATTCATTTACTATTACAGCTGTCCTTGTTGCATTTGTTTTGATTTTCAAAAGGAAGGAAAAGGAGGGAAGCCAGCCAGCCAGCATCTCTGGTTTCTTCTAAGAATACATCCAACCTTCCCTCAGTTATTAGAGAGAGCATGCTCAGGCCACCAGCTGTGTGCACCACAGCCACCACACAGCAGCCTCACCCACCCCCCAACTTCTCACAGTACCCACAACCCAGCCAACACCAAAATCCGTTGGATTGACAAATGAATCTGATGCTGCAACGCCGTTAGAATCTGGACCCCTGGCTTCCACCTCCTCTGGGCTTCCCCTTCCTCCCAGCAAAGCCTGAACCTCATCCTTGGGGGCTGGGCCTTCCCATCAAAGGCCAGGGGTGTCTGCAGGCAGGAAGGATCCAAGACCAGCAGCCTCCTTCTGGAGGTGGGAGCAGAGCACATACAAAATGTGGACAAGAGGAAAGTACTGGGGGCCCCAGAACACACGGGGCTGTGTCCCAACAGCACCCTTGGCTGCCCTTTCAGTGGCTGGTGACACCCAGCTGGCTCAGACTAGGAGGGAGGATGGCAGAAAGTGGCAACAGCCACAGAAGACATGAGGACTTCCCACTCCATGGCCCCCTGGCACCCTGCTCACCCCCACCACCTCGCCACAGCTGGCAAAGGGCTCCCAGGCCTGCCCAGGACCCACTCCAGGAACCTGGCATCAAGCTTCCTGGCAGCCAGCTGCTTCTTCCTGTCCCCTCCCCCACTGGGACACAATGACTCCACTTGGACTTTAGACAGAAACTCTGCTTATCAGGGAGTCCCAGACCCATGAATGCTGGGTTTTCAATGCCTGGAAAACCCCAGTAGGCCTCACTCACCACTTCCCTCAACCTCTTCCCAACACAGACACCCCTTTCTCATACACTGGCAGTGGTCACCCAGGTCTTTCCTGAGCCTCTGGAAAGGAAGCAAGTTCCAGGTTAATGGATGTGGAAGAAGAGCTCCAGGACCCTGAGCCTAGCACATGAAATGGGGGCAGCCCTTCAGCCTATCTCAGGGTAGGAGCAGAGTTGGCTGTTTCTATGTCCACAGCACCCACACCCCTTGAGCATGCGGAGAAGCATAGAGCCAACAACGAAAGTCACCAACTCTCAGGCTGAGGCAGGAGGACTGGTGCTAGTTTGAGGCTAGCCTGGAATAAACAGTGAGTTCAGGACAAGCCTACACTACATAGAGAGACCCCATCTCAAAACACCAAAATATGTACCAGCCCCACTGCTGGGGCACACTGAGAGGATTGAGACTGGGAGTGGTGGCGCAAGCCTGTAATCCCAGCACTTGGGAGGCTGAAAACATGGCGATCACTATGAGTCTGATCTGTGTAGTGAGACCCTGTACTAAAATATTTTTTTTAAAAACCCACCAAAATAAATACAAAAAAGCACAGCACCTCCATCCCAAACCAGAACAAGGTGGCAAGACCCCAGAGATGTCCTAGTCACAAAGGAGCTAAAGTAAAACTTTCTGAGGTGAAGAGCTCCCCAGCCCAGGAAGATGAACATGCAGGAATCCCACTGCCACTCCTGTCTTACTCGTAGCTGTTGCCACTCACCAGTTTCTGGTTTGAAAGGAACAATTCTTTCTTGGGGTAGAGAAGGAAACATACAAGTGACTCAGCCATCTACACTGAGTCTGAGTCAAGTCTGTCCCTGAAGAGCCAGTCCCAATGAGTTCACAAGGTCTGGGGCAGTACAAGCAAGAGCAGGAAATACCAAGAAGACTGGCCCTGACACAGATCAGCAGTTTCCTACACCTGCGTGGACCCTGAGGCAGTGCCACTGCAGGAAGCGACAGAGAAGAAAACCCAGCGCTGCCCCCTTGGCTTACCGTCCTCCCCGAGCTGTTCACACCAGAACCTGACCCAAATCATGGCCACCAATATAGTGCTTTGCAGAATTCCTCTCTTGCAGGGGAAACTGCTAAAAAGTCCAGGTCCTCTAGGGACAGAAAGACTGGCTCTACGGGTCACCAGCTTTAGGCTTGCCAAGCTCAGTGTCCCAACATCTATGGGTCCCTGCCCAGCGGGGTCAGGCTTTGCTCCACATCCCTAACATGATGTCAGGCCTTTGCTTGGCTGGTGCACACCATCTTGCCCTTTCTCCTTCCCCCCTGACAATGGCGCCCACTGAAGGAGCAGCCCAGCACAGGGCGAACACACAGGATAACCTATACACACATCACACTCCTGGGGCCCAGGACTGGCTAGTCATACAGAGAGAGACCCGAGATTGTTTTACTTTTCCCATTTGGAATTTCTCTGCTTCCCTCAACCTATTCTATTAGGAAAAACATTCCTTTATGCTCACAAACTCTAAAGGCACAACATCTGCCCAATAACACTCCCTTCCTGAGATAAGGTAGTTCTCACCCCACTGATCCCCACAAGGAGGGTAGCACAGAGACTACTACTCTTGTTTTCTAATGAAAAGACTGAGCTAGCAGCCTAAGGTTACAAACAAGACAGAGCCAGTCCCAGTAAGCAAATCAGTCCCCTCCCCTGGGTCCACCTGGATTGAAAACTTGCAAAGTCCCTACCTCCTCACCCCGTCCTGTTTCCAGCTGCTGTCACTTCCCTGGCCCCAGATCCTAGCAAACTGGTCTATCCTCAGCCTCAGGCTCCCTCAGAAGCTGGCGTGTGGTCCCCCAAGACACTGTTGGGCTCAAAATAGCACCATCAATGCTTTCAGAATGGGGTGATTGTGAGATTACTGCAAAGAATGTTGGAAAGTACAGGAGAGAAAAGAAGGAAGAAAGGAGTGGAAGGAAGCAGCTCCAGGAAGTTAAAAGCTTCACGCTTATTGTCACTGGCATTTATACTGTCACTGACAAAACCTGTTAGTCACTGATCTAAGAGAAACTTTCACGTTTGGAAGAGGAAATACACAGTGCATGGGTTCAGGTCTGTAGTACCAAGTAGCAAAAGATGGTACAGAAACAAAACACAGAAAATGACTATGGGCATCTCTAGGATTCCTCAGGTACCAGCAAAAGTAAAACAGGTGAGGAGTAGGAAAAGAAAGGAAAGAGAAGAAAAAGGCAAATAGATGAGGAGAGCAGAGAAAGAAAAGCCCACGGGAGAAGAAAATTTTCCAAGCCAAGAGATTTTGAAGCAGTATCCCAAACAGTTCCCCTGCCGTGGGATCCCAAGATGCTGGGTCCAGGAGTGGAAAAGCGAAGTGAATGGGGAATCCTCCCTTCCACTCCCATGGCCTGCTCTGTCAGCCTTGAAAAGCCATTTCCCTCTTAGACCTGTTTATCATCTGTTCACTGTAGAGGAGAATTTTGCTGGTCCCATTCATCCCAAGGGCTTAAATTTTTCTGATAAAGGAAGGAAAAAGGAATGGCTTATCCAAGTAGGGTAGGGAATCTATGCATTTGTGCTCTTACAAAACTCCTCAGGGTCGGGCGGGCATGGGGGCACATGCCTGTAATCCCAGCATTCAGGAGGCTGAAGCAGGAAAAGCACCATGAGTTGGAGGTCAGCCTGGGCCACAGAGTGAGTTCAAAGACCAGCCTGAACTGCATTGCAAGACCTTGTATCGAAGAACCAAAAAGAAGAGAAAAAACTGTGTTCTCTACAAGACATCAATACTGATTTTAGGGGCCAGGAAGATCGCTCAGTAGAATAAGCGCTTGCCTGGCAAGAGCAGGGTCCTGAGTTCAATCTCCGGTTCCACACACACACACACACACACACACACACACACAAAACAAAAACCCTGATTTTAATTGTTCACGTCTCTTAATAATTCCTAAAACATGAACCTTGCAAGAAATGGAAAATCATACAGACTGAGGTAACCACACACAAGTCTGTGCTGACCGACAATCAAGAATCACAGACAGAATATAAAGCCCTGGGTTTGATCCCCAGACCACAAAATCTTAAAAAGCAGACAGAAAAACATACAGGCGCTAACACAAGTTGACTAAGACTCCAGCCAATCGACTCCACAACCAGTCCCACACAAACATATCTCCAGTCACAGGCAAGCCCCAGCAAGTGTGCCACAACCTTTCTCAGGAAAGAGTTTACAAAGGAAACAAAAACTCTCACACCCAGCCAGGGGGGAGGGCCGAGCTCTAACCCTGCGGAGAACCCAGCCAACCAACAGCCACATCCTCCCCTGGGAAGAGTCAATCAATATTTATTAAGGACTCCTCCGTAGTTATAGTACAAGGAATTTTTAATACGGAGCCCTAGGAAATTTCAGCTTTCAATTTCATTTCCTCTTCAGGCTCCGCACCAGGACACTTTTCCAGAGATTGAGGGAAGGTGGAGACTCCTGCAAAATCCACAGGAGGAGACCTCATTCCACCCAGCTCCACTGCATTTCTTCGAGGGTCACGAAGGAGCCCAGGAAGCCCGGGGCTGTGAGGTTCGGCTTCTCCCGGCTGTCGATGGACGCAGGAGCGGCAGGAAGACCGTTCCCAGGCGCCGGGAGGAAGCCAGCCACCTGATGTAGAAGAGCGGGAAGGGCGCCCCGCCCGCAGGCCTGCACCAAAGGGTGAGGACGCCGCACAGCGGAATCAGCCCTCCCAGCTCTTCCCCTGGAGTGAGGGGCAGGGATCTCTGGTGGGCGCAGCAAGCAGCCCTGCTCCCGGGAGGGGGAGGGGACAGAAAGGCAGCGCCCGGAGCGGGCTCGGAGGACTCCAAGCAGCGGCTGGCAGTTTTCTCAACTCCACCCTCCGTGGGCGCGGCGTGGGGAGCGCCCTGCTCCAACCTCGGACCCGACTGAACGATCCCTCCCCAAAACTCCGGCAACTTACACAGGTTCGCCGATGTAAACAGAAGCAACAGTTTCTTCCCAGTTTTCACTTTCTTCCCCATCACGATCAAGACCCCGAGGCGACAACCTCAGCCAGAGCGCTGGGAAAAGCTTCTAGAACTGTAGGCGCGCTGAGACTCAACTCCAGCCCCAGGTTGAGCCCCGCCCGGTCCACCCCGCCCACTATCTTTCATTGGCCAGTGACCCCTCTCTGCCCAGATGATTGGTCGAGGGAGCTGCCATTCAGCCGAGTGACTCACCGTAGCCAGGTACAGTCCCGCCCATTACTAACTCTGCTGAGCCCTCCTCTGATTGGGCCAGAAGACTGTCGCTCAAGGAAACCAATTCCTCACCTTCGGCAGGTAAGTGCTCTCTGATTGGCCGGTGGTCCTGAAGTAGGGACTTTCTGACTGGCTGAATTATAATTGAAGCTAGAGACCTACTCTCACCTCCCAAGAGGTAGAGAAAGGCACTTGAGCTCAGGGATTCACAAAATGGTCTTACTTTGGGTAGTTTGCTTTGTGGTATGGGAGCTTAATTCAAGGGGTTTTACACTGAGCTAGCTCTCCAACTCTTTTGAGACAAAATCTTACTAAATCGCTCAGTTGGCCAGGCTGGGTTCGAATTGGCGATTCTCCTGTTTCACGCTGGTTTCATACTAGGTTCCAATGTAAATTGCTTAAGGCTGTGGAAACCTTAAATCCCTTGCCAAGTGAAAAACTCACATTAATGTGAGAATGTAGGGGCGTAGGACAGGAAGAGAAGTAAAAAGATACCTCGTCCCCACCTCCAAACTCGGTTCCACTCTTCGCCCCGCCAGCAGCCTTCCATGGCTTTGGCAGATAAACTGAACGGGAAGAGGAAAGAGAAAGGAAAGCGCAGGGCAGCGTGAATTCCAAGGTGGGACAGGCAGGGCTACAGTACCTGAGCCGGAACTTGAAGCAGACATACACGAAATACAGCCGCGCAATAGAAAGGGATCGGCACTTTCTGCATACTACTCTGCGTATTGCAGAAGTGGGACTGTGCGTCCTACCTAGCCCAGCTCATCGAATTCGAGTAGTTCCAGCCATTCTCATAGTCACTCCTCCCTCACTCAGAGCCATTGCCCTTTTCATGAATAAAACCTGGGTTTGTGGCCAGCGAGATAGCTCAGTGGACTAAAGCGCCTGCTTAGGCAACCTTAGGCAAGCTCAGAGACTGTGGATCTATCCCCAGCTCCACATGCCCCGCACAACCAAATACATTTAAATTTAAATTAAAAAGAAAGTGATATCCACATGCCCCACAAACTTCTGGTGATTGCTGATTTGCCCTTTACTTCTGTTGGAGCTATCAGCAAGACTTTCTCCTTGAGAATTACTGGCCCTTTGCAACAAATGGTTAAGTACTGACTAAGCCGCCTTCCTTCTCTTCTATAGATTGTTGACACCCAAGCTTCCTCTTAGTGCTGTGACATAATGCTTCATTGATGTTTGATTCATTTGTTGCCAGTCCTGGAACATGAACCCAGGTCCTCTGCCCTAAGCCAAATCCCTGGCCCTGTGTGTTGTTAGACAGGGTCTTGCTAAAATGCCCAGGCTGGGCTCAAATTTGTGGTCCCTGGAATGCCGGGATGCCAGGCCATGTTACCTTGAATTGAAATTCATGCTCAGTGCCTTTGCTATGTTTAGTTTCTACTTTACAGTTATATAATTTCTACAAATGTGTCCAAGTTGCCTGAGGTGGGGGGGGGAGTATCTTAAAAGAGTTAAAAGCCCACACTTTTATCAAAACAAAAACTTTTTTTGACCTTTTGTCTCTTTACCCTCAACCACATTTCACAGTTCATTCCTTTTTCCACATTTCATGAGCTAAAGTTTCCCCTCTGGTTTCACTCAATTTAAGAGAGTGGTTTTTTTTTTGTTTCGCACTGGGATCAAATCGAGGACCTCTTGCTTGCTAGGCAGGCGCTTCTGCTGTGGACCTATCAGCAGAGGCAACATGTATCAAGCACATGCTGGCTGCTGCTGGGAAACAGCAAATAAATACCAGCCACAGTCCCTAACTTAATGGTTTACAAGCTACTTCTGAGACTAATACAGGAAACAAGACAATATGTAACCAAGAGGAGTTTGTTATTAAGTTGTAACAAGTATTTGGGTGACTGACTGCCAAGTGCAAAGCTCTGTTCTTTAGACCCGAAGGAACATTTAGAAATGTTCTTGTTTTTGTTAGTATATGTGTGGTCGAATTCATCCTGGGGAGTTGACACAGATGTGTAATACATCCTGAATCTTTTCACCTTGCCTTCTCCTCCTTCCCCACACAGTCAGGGAACTTAGTATAGGGGAGGCTGATGTGCAAAGTTAAGTACAGGACTAAAAGTGAGAGAGGACCAGGGATATAGCTCAGCAGCATATCACCTAGCCTGGAAGGGTGAAGACCTGAGTTCGATTCCCAGTATCAAGAAAAAAAAAAGATGGGAGACAGAGGCTTGAAGTGGGGTTCATTGTGCACCCTGATTGTCAGAGAAAACTTCAAGATATGGGAATGTGAGCAGAGGTTTGGAGGAGCTCTGAGTGGTCATAGACTTTAGGTAGGGGTCATTTAGGCCAGCCTCTCTCCCATTACAGAAAGGCTCATAGTGTGGGTGTCTTCTGGGTAAATTCCTAAAAATCCCGAATACAGATGATCCTGCTTTAGTGCACCTTTTCTCTTTTGTTGCTTCCCCCCCCCCCCCAATTCTGAGGATTGAATACAGGCACAAGGCCTTCACAGCAAGCTACATCCCTAGGCCTTTCTTTCCTCCTTTTTAATTTTTTTTTTTTTTTTTAAAGAGAGGAATACGGTCTCCCTAAGTAGTCTAGACTGGGCTCAAATTCCAGAACCTCCTGCCCCAGCCTCTCAAGAGCACTGAGGTTCCAAATGTGCCTCACCATGTTCAGCTTCCTTTTTTTTTTTTTTGGCCAGCTCAGCCTGTCCTGAAGGTGGGGCTGGCCTGGCATGTGGTGCAGGGGATTGAACCGAAGTCCCTGTGCACCTTGCCTAAGTCTGCCTAAGCAGGTGCTTTAGACAACTATCTTGCCATCCCAGCTTCCAGTTTGTAATTGATAAAAAACCGATCAACAAACTAAACTTTCCTGCCTGGTAACTTCCAGCCAGTTCCAATTGGTTGCTCCCTGTCTGGAGTTACACAAAATGTTAATTATTTTGGGCCGGCCAGGGAGGTGGCTCAGTGGAACAAGCACTTCCCTGGCAAGCGCAAGGGTCTGAGTTCAATCTCCGGTTCCGGAAAAAAAAAAAAAAATTGGGCAATCACAGCCCTCCCTTCAAATATTCTAAGATATTTATAATGAGCCCCTACATTTTTCCTTCTCTCAGCTAAACATCATGATTTCCTTCAAATTGCCCGAGTGCAACCCAATTTCAGGGGCCCTCTCTTCCAAGCCATTCTGCCTCCTCTAGCAAACCCCTCATCACTCCCACCCAGGGAGCCAAGCACAAGTTGGGAAGCCATCTCTCTGTGGGATGGACAAACCTCACGCCCGAAGTCGCCCAATTTCTGGCTTGCGGTACTAGGGCAGCTCAGATCTCTCTGAGACGCTCTGCATCCCAAGGTGAATTTGATGGCAGCAGCATCACTTAGGTGGCCTTACACAAAATAGGGACTACATTCTATGGTATGTGCAGTGTGCTCACCACTGAGCCAGGACAGCTTAAGAATTGAAGTGTAAGTTGTTCTGTCACTTTTTGGGCAAGGGTTTGCTATTGTGAACTCAGGGCCTTTGCACTGATCTGTATTCCCAGCTCTTTAAAAAA